ATTGCAGGCAGAAATACGAAGAGAGTCGGCAGTAGGGTCTAAATCATACAATTAAAAAGGACATTTAGTACTTTCTTTTATAGGGTGTCAAAAATCATGCTTAGCCAAATCTTGAAAGCGGATGGTATTCGATTCTGTTAAGTCCTTCCTTACGTATTTGCAATTTTGTTTCTGATCCTCCAGGTACCTGTGTTATAAATTTGGCCATTTGGGATTTTTTAATATCGGCTTCTACGTCGACTTGCCGTAACAATCTCGTGTACACAGAATTGTAATTGTGTTTTGGACAATTTTGCTTAGAAGTCAATGCCTGGCGCATCAAGAAAGTGGGAGCGTTTAGCCCAGAGCCCTCAAGCTCGTCAATTGAAATTTGATCCAATCGGGATTGTGGTAGAGCCTTTCGGATCGATGCTAACAACAAACTTTCAAAGTCTGCAAAATTTTCGTACCTGCAACAGCAACGCATTCATTAACTGAGAATCGATCCGCTTCACTCGTTGAATTTTGCGTAGACGTCCTAGCGCGACAAAGGTCTCTGCAATAAAGCCTCTATTTAGGTCTAGGTTTAAAAAAATAAGGCTTTGATACATTTCAGACAGCCAATTGAGAATTCCTTTTCAACTAATTCAATTAGATGGTCACCTATTATCTTTTTTAGATCATTCAAGATGGCTGCTGTGTGACCAAAAGACTCGACTGCATGGAAGTCAAGTGCACGGCGTATCCCAAAAAGGGCTGGTTCTGATCGCTATATCATTCACTCTTTGATACTAGACATTGGATATCGAAAGCAATCAACAAGGTGAGTCATCACCCAAAAGAAATATTAAAAACTAACTTATTCCACAGAATAGCATTACTGCGAAGGTGCTCATGATGACTATCGAAACACTGAATAAGCCAAACACATCGGATGTTTGAATCTCGAGATTAGATGATACGTTTGCCTGGAAAAAACATTTTTGAAAAAGACCTTTTGTTACTGGTAGTATTTGCGAGTTTACCATGGCCAAAGCAGCAATATACGGTAATTTCCGAACACTGATCCCATATTCGTGTTCGATTTCAGCATCGAAAATCGAATCCTTCAAATCGGATGGTTGGAAGTTGTAAAGGCATGTCAGGCCATAGTGAAATGCCACAAGCAAATAAAGAAGCACCAAAAGTGGAAGACTCCATGCACATCTCATCTTCTCCAGTAGGTTTGGCCTATAAAGTATTTTTACCAGTTTGAAATAGTAAGTCTACTACAGTAGAATGGAAAAGGTTGCAACATGACAGTGTCTGTAAACAATAATGCTGTCAAATTGACTTCATGCTCGATGTAGAGCACTACCGTAATCCTTTGTTTGTATATATCACGTAAGAAATTAACCCTCAATGTAAGCTGTAGCCAGTTCCGGGATGCAAGGCCTTGCCGTTGAAGCTTGAACACCCCCAGGTTGGGAAAGGCGAGCCTGACAACTCCACGCTGACTATAAAAGGGTAGGCCTCAGAATCTTCCAACTCGACTGCCTTGAATCAGGTTTCATTCGGACTGCCAAAGATTAGTCAATCAGGCTGAATATCGGTCCGTGTGGTGGAGGAAAATCCCAAAAGTCAATCGTTCAGGCGCTACTTTGTTGGGGGGCATGGAAACTTTGAAAAAGCAACAATTCAAAGCTTTTTGCCAAAGACCTCCCAACTCTTGTCATTCAGCTGCCAACAGCTTCACCTGACATGCCGCTTCTTTTACGATCACTCCCAAGTCCCCGAGATGAAGCGACCAAGTTACTTAACTGGTTAACCGCTAGCTGTAAACCAATCCTTCAAACACGAACAGGCCTGCAAAATCAATCGCCGTGACATACAGTGCCAATTGAGTGCACTGAACAATCCACAACTAGACTAGACATACTCGTGCTGCCAATATTTTACAATTACAGCCTTTAGTTCTAAAATTCAGGGTCAGCACAAATGCCTTTGTGAGTAGCGCTGATTCTAAATATCTGGGAGTCAACTTTTTGCATTCGAAAGTAATTGTGAGCCGACAAACCTTTGCGAAATTCGCCATTCATCACAAAGTAATAACCCCTTTGAAAAAGTGCCCTTCCTTGGTAATCCGGGTCAGACGAGAATTGAAGATAAAAGGTGATAATAAGTGATTATGGTTGATAAGCGGGTAGAGTAACAATTTCCCTCTTTTTTTGAAATTACATACCCTTTCTAGGAGAACTACGATAATGCTACCGTAACGACTTCGATCCCTTCACTAAGAACTGCATTCAAGTTCTGTGTAAGACCAACTACAACACCGTAGCCCCTAGCTTTCATTAAGCGCTGACAGATGGCTACGAAATTGTCAGCCATCAGTAATGTAGGTTTTATCGAATGCTTCATGCTGCACAGATGTGCATTTCATTGCCTATGAGTCATCCAAGTTCTCAGTACTTTTGTGACACATCAGTTCCGGATGCTGTTGATAACAAGGAATGTTACTACTTTGCTAAATGATGTCATGAAACCTCGGCAGGATACTGCTGTAACAAAGCAATGATTGATGGATGGTGAGTTAGCCCATCACCGGGTTTTTCGACACCCCATCATGCTCGCTCTCTGCCTATGATAAAGACAAGTTCTTGGTAAATAGGAAAACCAGGAAGATGACTAAACCAACAGGTCCCTAGGACCTGGAAAAGGTCTAATCGGAGAACTTCCACTGGTTTATTCGCGTGCATGGCGCAACAATGCTGAAATGCTCACTTTCTCCAACCGTGAAATGAGATATCCACATCGGTCAGAGTCAATATGCGCCACGCATTCGGATTACTTCGAGAATTTCAGGGGCATTCTCAGTGCTGGGGCAGTCGGTTACTTGTATGGACTGATGTGAAGCTGATACTTCGAAACTCTCAGGCAAGCTGGTGCCAACTGGCAAAAGGCAAAGTAGGACGAGTTGACGGCATGAGCAGGTTTCGAGCCTACATGTCGCGATTCTGTTCCACCTTTATTTGTCACAATCTGCATCACTTTTTGTTTACTAGTAGACTTAACTAGAATGTAACTTTCTGATTCAAGTCTAACTTAACATACCTCACAATATACAGATATCTGTAGGCAAAATGTACAGCTAAGAGGAACATAGACTGTGCAAACATCGAGCAGTACAGACCGGTCAGTATACGGCCCGTATTTGGTGAGAGGGATTCCAGACGAGTGGCAAACACCAAAAACGAGCGCTCATGGATATGTATTGCCTGAATTAAATGAGAAGCAACATCATGGAAAATAAATGCATTCGAGAAAGCCTTTGATTACTTACTGGTAGCAGAGCCATGTTTACAGTGGAGTAAAGTACATTGAACATGGCAAACGTCAACATGATGTATTTGTATTTACCAACTTCTTTGGCAGTAAAGTTCATAATCACGTAAACCAATCCAGAATTAAACACGACTGATGTAATAAAGAAAAAGGCAGTAATATGGACATGGTATGCCGGGAGGATCATTCTCTGAAATATCGTTATCAAATGTAAGTTGATCCGAAGCAGTAATGACTTATAAAATAGTTAGTGATGTGTACCCTGCTGCCCCTCCTTGGTTACCATAGCCTACTATGGCAAAGTGCCAATCCTTTGTGTCAATCTTCAATATGTTCCCCTCACAGTTGTTCAGACATTTTTATAGACATTTTGACATTTTTCGATTTTTCATGGTTTCCTTTTCGAATTGTTAAAAACCTCTTTTATAACTTACTCGAGATACGTCATGCTTTTCAAACATGTTCAGCGACGTGAATGAACCTTTGCAGTCACGTATTCAATGAATTTGGCTTACTGCAGTTTGATAACTGCCACCAAAGCCTGGTCGATCGGTCGGTCGGTCGACGGGGCCGGGAAGATCTGCCTTACAAGGAAGTTCTGCTAAGCGAATATGCAAATCGCCTACAAAACTTCATTGTTGTCTCTTTGCTTCTAAGTCAATTATATGTGTTTGTTAGTATTTGTTTGCCTTTGAAGTAAGATAACAGGAAATGAAAATTGAGTTTTAGTCACCTCGGGATAGAAAGGAAATTTCTGTTACGAATCTGCCTCATACAGAAGATATTTTTATTCGAAAATTGAGAATACAAACCATGCTTTAGGTACCTTTTTCCAGGGCTGTGTAGGAGAGTAGAAATAAATTTTTAGTATACTTAATGGTTTCCAGAGTTCGCCCAGTATACAGTATGGAAGTCGCTGGTTTAGGATAGCCACTGTTCTTGGCAACTATCCATTCACCTGTAGGATGGCTCAGATGGGTGTTCGATCAGAGATATTGGCCCTGTAACTTTTACTTGGTAACGGCCCCAATCCCGATGATCATCGCGACCTTGCTCTTGGGTCTAACTGGTAAAAAGGATTAATATTGCTGATGAGTTTAAGGGACTGGTGGGTCCCACAAGACCTTGCGGTAGGTCATTCAATGTTGGACTCAGCATTGAATGACCCACCGCAAAGCCTTATGGGGACTAATTAAGCTTGATGGGAATCAATGGTGCTCCCTTCGAAATGCCAACGTTTTCAAGCTCTTTTTTCCCAAAAGTTCGTAAAATGACTAAGGAATTCATCTAATTACTCTTGAAAAGTTTACTTTCAACTTTCCAAGGTGTAAACACGATATGAGCATCACACTCTGGAGTAGATAGTAAAACTTCCATTTCCCAGACAATTGATTCCGTCCATTGATTAATTGCTCATCGCCCGTTACATCGCATCGCTATATAAATTAATTACCAGTTGAATTTCAACTTAGTCTTGACTTCATAGAACGTTCAACTCTGTCTGGTACTATATCTCGTGCCCAAACAAAAAATTTCCGACTTTTTCCCTGAAACAAACGCAACGGAGTGCATGGTTAAACCGCCATCAATAAACCAGGTAACAAACACCAAGTTGACATCTTCGAGGGGCCATCACCAGAAGTACTTCACCTGAGGGGAGAAACAATCTGTATCAAGAAACATTCTTTCGGATGACCAACTTAAAATAGCCGAGTTTTTTTTTTGATGTATTTGCTTATTGTAGTTTTTATATTCCACTGACTTCAATTTATTACATTAGACTTATTGAAAGGGCCTATCGAAATTTCTCAAACAAGTTGATCAAATGTTTCGAATATATTGATGTGTCCGATAATTTTTACAGCCTCCAAAATGTATCCAAGTCCAGCCGAATTTCTTCATTACTTGGAGCTAGTTCCCAGGATTGTCATAGGGACCCATCATGGAATGCGCCATGCATTCAGCCACTCATCGATATTTTCGCTAGGATCAATGCTTCTTCATCTGCTTGGATGCTAGTTCACAGCTGGTTATACTGGTTTTCCATACGCTGTAGGCTCAGCTAAGATTAGATACTTAGCTCTAAAAATCAACCAATTCTGTGGGGAAATGCGGTTTCAATGATCACGGCGGCATACTCATTTATTCAAGGAATTATAAACAAAGACTGAACTTAGTTTTGGCTAGGAATATATTTGCAGAATTTGCAAATATCTCTTTATTGTTCTGAGAAATCCGTCCATTATATGGAGAATCGGTTTATAGGAACTAGCTCGAACAATGCATGAGCGTATGCCTTAGAAATGGTCAAGGTGAAACTTATGGCTTAAATGAAACCAGATGGCACTGATCTGCTTTCTTTTCCCCAAAATGTATTCTCTAGTTATGGGATATTTTGGCCAATGATCGCAAAGAAACATGCTTGGTTCTGGTTAACCACTTAGCATTTCAATTGTAACCCTTTGTTCCTATTCTATACGCATGCTCTTTGAGGTTTTTCTTTGGCAAGAACGACAACCTGCAGGTGGTCTCGATTTTCAGGGCGTCGAATACCTCCTTTATTGTTCTATTGCTCCCTACTGCCGATTTTAGGTATGGGGCTTCCCAAATAGAAACTTTCAATTTTCAAGCTGCGATAAGCACTTCCAAGGCAAAAATGAACAAGTACCAGTTAAAATGTTCCTCAGTTAAAATTAGGGAAAATCCAGATAAATGTACATTACTCAAGTAGTAATCCTGTCTTTAGAGAGAACACAGCGGCTATATACTGAGGCTTGAGGTTAATGAGAATGCGATTTCCAGTCGGCTGAGTCATTACAGCATTTAATACTTTTGGTCTAAGAGTAAGAATTCTCTTCCTGTTATTTTTCTTAATGAATACGTTCTACCAGCTTCAACCTTGCCATTTGTGGTCGTATTCCTGTGCTTGACTTAGACTGAGTCAGAATAATAAATTTTAGATCGAAAAGTAAGGAGATTCTCATAAATTCTGGTGGGATATGACAGAACAGACCCCGATCGAGTTAGATTGTAATAAGTTTTCAGTAATATAATAGTTCTTGCCCATCATAAAGATAGAGGGTTTGCTACTCTTGACTCTTGAAAACTTTGTAAAGAAATGCAGTAATCTCGACTTCTAAAGTTTTATCTCCTATGATTTCGTCTTGGAAAATAAAATATTTTCAAAAAAGGGTAATATAATACATCATGACACCTGCACTTCAGTTTTACCACAACAGATCCTTTCAAAACTGAATGCCTTGACCATCAAGGAATTTCTGTATAATATAGTGGCTTTGATGTTCCATTTACTCCCAGCAAGCCCAAGTTCCGGTTGTGACAGTAAATATAATAGTCAGAACGGTCTATATATCAAGTTCAGACTGAATTTGTTCGATGACACGAAAAATTGAAAAATTAAATTGAAATTTAAGGAATGAGACATTCTCAGCATGCTTTCCACTATGTCTTTTTGGTAATAAATTGTCTGTCTGATCGGCATTTCAGGTTGGGTACTCCGTGGAGTTGCTCTCTGATCCTCCATCCGCTTTGTCTCCGCCCTCACTCGGAGGAGCCCTCTGTGTGTCCTGTCGAAAGCGGGTCCACCACCATCGCCATTCATAAATTAACCCAGTGCTGGTTCCCTTCTCAGTGATATCTGACTTGATCTATACTTACTGTGATCATTACTGTTATCTTCATAACAAGTCATGGGACGACGTATCGTCTGGAGGAGCGACGGGCCAGCGTAAGTGGAAGAATTTTACAAAATTCCGGATATTGAGTTGTAAATTTTACTTTCCTCTGGTACTCTATTTTTCTACTGGTATTACGTCAAGTATATGATCTCTTTGCGGTTTAATAAATGGGGTTATGTTAGCTACTTCTGAAAAATGATCCAATAAAATCATGCCACCTGAAAGCAAGTGGCGAGGCCTTCCCAGTTTAAAGGATTGTGACTTCTGATTCGTTTCTCAAGTCTGAATGCAGTATTGCGGAAAGGTAAAGGCATTTGGTAGTACGCAGTATTCTCCACTAACTGTTTAAATTAATAGTGAAAAGGTTGCTCGGATGGAGTGCACGTCTCATTCCTAGTGCAATTCAACCACGGCTTCATCGAAGGTAAATGCACGCCGCTCAAAGGGTTCCCAGTATTCTGCTGACGTCTTTTTGTTGAACCCATTCCTCTAGGTTCAACGAGTGACGCATCCTCCGTCAGTGTTGATATGTTGTCAGCAAGTCGTGGGCATGCACAAAATGCCATGCTCTGAGGTGGTAAACCGGAAATTGGAAAAGCCGAGGGTTGTTAGGAGCACGTCGCCTTCGTGGAAGGATTAGGGGCGAAGTTCTACCAGTTAATGTTATGCTTCACTTGGGTTGCGCTACTTCTCAGACCAACCCTATCTGTAGTTGTAAGCATTTGGAATAAAACCATGGGAATGGGGCTCCCAGTCGATCTCTCCTTTAGGGCAACAGAAAAGGCACGTTCTCCTGATTCCCGGGCCATGTTTCCTGTGCAGGGGTGTTTCAAAGGACGTAGTAGCTATCTGAGTCCTCTCCCACGTATCATTCAAAGCAATAACTTGACTGATTGATCAGGAAGAGCTCTGGAATGTTCTGCTCACAGCGGTTTGGCGACGGCTAATTTAGTATGGGAGTACGGGTTCATTGATCATCCAACAGCTGCACCGCACAATGGCTTTCATCAGTCTCGGAAAATGAAAAGGAGTCTCATCAACTCTTCAACTTATTAAACTTACATCATTATTATGCTGAGATTTATTGACAGACGAACACTCTCTTTTATGAATCTACTCAGCTCTCGGGATTCCACAGTAATTACTACGTTGAAAGCCTTCATAGAAACCGAGTATTTACGAGATTAATAAGTAGATAAATAAGCAAATTAACATTTCGCTGATCTGCTCGAGTCCCGTATTGATGACTTGCTCAAATATTTCTACAAATGACCAGACCTTTCGTGCATTATCGGAAAATCGCGAGCTTGTATCCATTTTCCCAGTGCCGTAACCGTAATGAAGTTCACACAAGTGTGGTCCGGAGATCGATTCCCGGATTGGTCCTCTACCTGACCAACCAAATCTTGCATCACTTCTGGGTCGATTATTAGGTACCATATTCGTATCTGGGAAGATTTAAGCACTGACGTGACTAATACATAGGCTGGCCATGGAAGCTGAACGCAGGGCTCATCCCCTGGATGGGTTTGATCATGGCAAAGGTGGTTTATCTTCTATGACTTCATGATCCATTATGGGAAATATGGACTGATTGATTGCTGAGAATACGGGAATGACTACTGAGGCAGTTTTACCCTTGAGATTTGCTCCTTCTCCTCTCTCTCTTCCTGTCTCTCTTGTTTATCCGCCTTTAACAACGGCACGCAGATGAAGTTAGCTTGGGATATCCATCAGCAACAATGACGCACGGCAAAATGCGATTGTCATGTACTACACAACGTGTAAAAAGTACCACATAACCCTTAAAAAACCCCCACGGTTAATAGAGAACGGCAGGCCGTCGAGCAAACGTGCCAGGGATCCTTTTGTCCATCTCCACGTTCACCGAGTTTACAGCGGCCCCCTTCTGTGTACTTTCTGGGCTGAATTACTGGGCAAAAATCAGAAATCGGAAGTACTTGGTCGCAAGCTCATGGAGACGTCATTAACGTTCAAAAAGAAAAGCGGGTCAAGTAGAAAAACACTAGTAGTGAACTGAGTAAAGCCGATTCAATGAGAATTAAATTCGTGAGAAGAGTGTGAAAAGGTGTGCAAAAATCAATCGAAAAGTAGCGTAAGAGTAAGATATTCTATTTACCTTACAGTTACTTGTTAAAACCAGGTTCATGCAATGTAGTTTTGATCTTAAGAATAGATTGATTCTTCTTGATCTAGCAACATATGAGCGCCTAGCGAGCATTGTTCGAGAAGACACCCCGCCGACCCCCCCCCCCCCCCCCCCACCCCCACCCCGCCCCAC